ATGAAGACATATTTTTTTACGGAAATAATGACACTTTAAAGTGACTCTATACTACGTCTACCATATGGGAATCCCTCAGGGCAGTATGCAGGATTTCCCTATATGAAAGCACTAGAAGTAGAACTATTCTGAGTTAGGAATTAAAAACTGTGCTATTATTGTGACCGGTCGTGTCAATTTCAACAGATAAACAAACAAGAATATAGAACCAGATTTATTCTTTGTGTGGGTTTTTTAATCACTACTCCCCAGTGCAAAGTGAACTGGTATCCCAGTAATATATTTGAGGCATATGTGAGTATCATCGGTAAATCTGAACTATAATATTCTACAAAGACATTAAAGGAATATTGTAGGTGGGAAATTAAGAGTAAAATGAATGCCATAACCACACTATTGAGTAAAAGACGCACACAGTGTCTCTATGACAATATTACAATTTATTGGAATGATGGGGCAGACATTCATTAGTGAACATTATAGACAGATATTAAGGACCTGTAAAGCTACTATGGATACAGTATTTTTGAGCACACACTGTATAGTCAGTCTATAATCTAAGTTGGTCATATAATTGTCGCCATCGTATGTAGGCCTATAGATACAGTATTTAATGTAATATATGCACATTGTACATTGTACAAAACTTATAAGCTTCTGGCTGCTTGGTTAAGCCCTGTTTGAGGCCTAAATCTAAAATGGATCTCCAACTCAATCCATGTGCTCAGCCTGAATGACTGACTGTTTAAATTTAGTAGTAGCCTACAACCTGAAGTTAACAAGTTAATGTAAAACATTTGCAAGGTAGTGCTTTAATTCATGCTTTGATCCGCTGTCATAACCCAGTTTAATAAGTTGCAGTCCATTGACTATTAATTTGTTTCCAAATGGTGTGAGCAGGAGGAACGGTTCCAAAATGCTTTACTTTGCCACTAATGCAAATCAAAGTTAGGCTATCTATTTAATATGCATGATTGGTTGGTGTAATGTAATTAAAATTATACTATTTAAATTATCCTAACAGTGAAAAAATTAAACTTTAAATGCATTTTCAAAGTACACTTGCTTCTGCTGCTAAGAACAATTAATTTTAGAAACTAATTCATTTATTGGATTAAGCTTCACTGTTCTTTAAACACTGCAAGATTTATTGGACCTTTATTTCACCCTAATGGGACATGAGTTTGAAAGAGCATATTTGGAGATTGAATGTGTTGCACAGCTAGTTTTTTAGGTTACCCACAGATTTAAGTTTGAACCCACTGAGGAACATTTCTGATTAACAACAACAGCTATTTTTATTCCCAACAGCAAAGAATAATTGCTTTGTAATACGATAGGATTATAGTCACTTTTATGAATTACACTGAGACTTTTTCCTATATGCTCTGGTATTTAATTTCATCATTCTGACACATGTCAAATATATTGTAGCTTATATATTTGGCTTCAGCTGACCTGTAGATTTTCTTGATCATATTGAAAAGCTGTAAATCACTCCACTCCACTCTATTAGATTTGCAGCAGCAGTTTCTGCTCATGAAACTGAAGATGTGAAATTCTGATGAGCAACAAAATCTGCAAGCATTTTGGTAAAGGTCCCCCTTTCAAGAACTGTTCAACAAAATGAGAGCTGGTTTGCCAAGGAAGTCAAGAAAGCTTGAATCTGTGTCTCTCTCTCTCTCTCTCTCTCTCTCTCTCTCTCTCTCACACACACACACACACACACACACACACAAGCTACCACAAGCATCTATGGGTCATTAATTGTGTTTTCTTTTTAAATCCTCATTCGTCACCGTAATTAACCGATGTTGATCAGCAAGGGCTCCCTTAAAATTGATTCCATGTGTGATAAGAGATGTGTTAGGTTATTTTTTTTCTGTCACCGGGCGTTATGGAAAATATCCAAATGTGTAATTTGAAGTGCCTCTGTTTGAAGCCTTTGATCTCGCCTGTTTTGCAGAGCCTCGGTTCATCATTTGCGACGTGTCGCTGGTGCCCTGTGTATTGCATAAGGAACTACTGTTGAGCGATAGGCCGTGTATGTTTGCTTATGAGAATGTGAAATTGTGTCATCTGCATAATTACCGTCAAAGAGCTCTCTACAAAACAGCCCTCAAGTCACTCGTGTATGATTGCCCTCTTTTTACAGCACCTACAAATTAAATTGGCTCCAGCGCGCTCCCTTGCAGCACTCTTCCACAAGAATTAAGAAAACTAATTTAAAGTAGGTAATAATAATAATAATAATAATAATAATAATAATAATAATAATAATAATGATAATAATAATAAGTAGGATTTGTGGCAAGTCAATATAATGCCAAAATAATTGATTTGCGTCTGAAGTTCTCTTGGTGTTTACTGTGTTTAATTTTGGCCTATTCCGGCGTGTGTGTGTGTGTGTGTGTGTGTGTGTGTGTGTGTGTTTGTGTGCGTGTGTGTACGGAAGTCAAGCAGAGGTTAGTTTACTGTTTACTGAGACTCTCTTTAGGAGAGAGGGGAGCGGCGTCTTAATGCTTTTATGGCTACGCCAGTTTCCCGGGTCGGTGTGAAAGTGTTAAGTTAGTGCGTGGTGCGTTTGATTGGAGGCAATAAATCAGACACAGACCTTGCCGTGGGTGGAGTGGGGGGTCGGTGGTGGTGGGGGGGGCGACACGGTCCCGGGGATGAGACACGTGTCCATCCGGACTCGGAGCGCTGCTTAGCGGACACCAGCAGTCAGACACCTCGCTGGACTCTCAGATTTATACTCTCACTTCTAACGTTTACTACGGCCCAGCCACGTTGTCTCTCTATCTCTCTCTCTCTCTTTCTCTCTCTCTCTTCTCTCTCTCTCTCTCTCTCTCTCTCTCTCACACACACACACACACACACACACACAGACACACACACACTATTTCTCTCTTCTCTCTCAGCTCTTTGCAATGTGATGTTTGTTTTTTCCTTCTTAAACGTCTCTTTCTTCTTTACACTTATTATGCTGCTGTGTATCGAAATGTCAAATACCATCCACTTATCTTTAACCACCCTTCACTTCACTGTCTGGACCCTCTCAATTTGCAGGTCGATCTTATGAGTGTGTGTGTGTGTGTGTGTGTGTGTGTGTGTGTGTGTGTGTGTGTGTGCGCGCGCGCGCGCGCGCATTTGTGTGTGTGTGTGTGTGTGTGTTAAGTGTGAGCGTGCTATTGACTGCTATGTAGTGATTACCATTCCGGTCGGATGGCACCAGCAAGCCGCTGTAATTAATAACCCCATAATCCGGGTTGGGGTGGATGTCGGAGAGGAACACACACAGATTCAGGACAGAGTTTTACAGAAACAAGGCGTATCCTTATGGGTAGCTCTATATAAGAAATTATAGCTGCTATTATCCCTCCCAGACAATGATAACTATCTGCTTCAAAAGAAGATTAAAGGTTTATACAAGTTCAGAGTTCTTGGAAACCCGGATCGCATTATCAAAACTTAACTGAGATTGATGGGATTTCATCTCGCTGTCAATAATACATTAAGACTTTTACCATATTCAAATAGTGCGTGAAATAATAATTCAGCCTCTGCAGTTGTTTTGTAAACGATTAACAAAACAGATGCTGGTACAAAATCGGGTTGAAATGCGATTAAGGTTGTCCCGTACACACTTTTATGTATTGATTCATGGAATTTCAATTCTGACTTCCTTGTTTTGTTTTTAATCCCTATTATTTACAAGAAACATCAGGTTGCATCAAAATTATTAAATAGATTTCTGAAGGTGCAGACTGTCCGGATGATCGTTTTGTTTTTTAGTGGATTAAGAACCTTTTTTTTTTTTAAATCACTAAATTATTTTTTTAAACTGTTTTCTTGTTGTTGCTTTCTTATTAATAGTAATATAATAGTTGTTGTTAATAATAATCATCTAGATGTATTGTTTTATATATATATATAGTCTATAGCTTTTTTTTCCTTTTTCTTTTTCCTCTTGTTTATTGAAAGCAGAATGTTGTTTCCGAGAATAAACATCTCCCCAGCCCAATCCACTAAAGTGTTTATTACTTATCATTGCTGGTACTTTACACTTAGTCTTCATTAACAGTGTAATGCGCCTATCATCAGCTGTCTCTTTGATGTCAAGTGGGTACATGCGACCCGTTTGATGTCTCAAATTAAAGAATGAAATGACTCCGATTCGCCTGCCACCAAGAGCCCATAACACCTCAGAACCGGTGTAAGAAAACACAGCTTGCGCCCAGTGATGTAGCGATAAATAAAAACGTGTGTATAACCTGTGATCCGGGGTCATTACAAGGCATGACCACAGTCCTTACTTACAAACACATTCATTATTGATTATGTTCCGGTGTCCTGCATGTGATACAGCCTACCTGTGTCTGATACTGGCAATTAAGATTTTTAAAAAAATATATATAGATATATGTCCATTCGAAAAGGTGTGTGTAAACTCTTTTCCATTGATAAAACAAGAAGAAAAACTGACTTTATATGATCTTTAACTTAACCTTTACTTCCCGATTTTACTTTTTTAACCGATTTTCTCTTGTAGGCGAGTCTGCTTGGATAAAATAAGTTTCTCCTGTATTTGAGTATTAAAATCAAACTGCAGCCAAAAAGAAAGAAAAAAAAAAAAAGTTCATCAGTCACTGACACCGAAATGCTTACTGTTGCGCAGATGGCCAAAAGTGTGAATTAACACAAAAAATGGTGGTAGGACAGACGCGAACAAATAACAAATGAAATAGATTTGCGAGCCATAAAATGAGATTTGAAATCCCCATTCAAATAAGAGCTCGCGACGTCAGTGCACTTATCGGAGAGCGAGCGAGAGAGAGAGAGAGAGAGAGAGAGAGAGAGAGGGAGAGAGGGAGGGAGGGAGGGTGTGTGTGAGAGTGAGAGAGAGAGAGAGAGAGAGAGAGAGAGAGAGAGAGAGAGAGAGAGAGAGAGAGAGAGAGAGAGGCTGTTTGGTGTATATGAGAGGGGTGAGATTTGAGAAATAGGAGGGGCTTCTAAACGACTAGAAATGTCAATCTGAGCAAGGGAGTCCCAATAATCTAAAGCAATCTGTAAGGACCTGACCTTAGTCCATCCAGATCAATAGGGAAGTGAGGGTGGAAAGGAGAAGAAGAGGAAGAAATAAGGGGCGCAACCGGATCGTTTACACTGGCTGTTCCCGAGGAAATATAGACTTCCCTTGCCTGCACCTTTTGTTGCTCACATGCTCACACTGTAAAAGTGGATATCGAGGCAATTCCCTTGCTTTGTGTGATTGCAGCAGACTTTTTTCCCTTTTCCTACCACCATGTCTTTCCCTCAGCTGGGATATCAGTACATCCGACCGATATACCCGCCGGAGCGCCAGGGGATCGCCAGCAATGCCCGATCCGGGACAGAGCTGAGTCCGTCCGGCGCACTCTCCAACGTCCTCTCCACTATGTATGGATCTCCTTTCGCCGCAGCAGCGCAGGGCTATGGAGCGTTTCTCCCCTACTCAAACGATATATCAATTTTCAATCAATTGGTGAGTCTCTCTGCGCTCTCTTTACTCATCTACAACTTTATGTTACACTTTGAAATAAAAGAAATAAACGACATAGGCCTTTGGTTGATGTTTCTGGACACTTTCTAAGTCTAAAGTTTCAGAGTGCCGCGGTAAACTTCGCGGTTGAATCTTTTGTTAAAATGAGTTAAAAGTGATTAAAAAGTAACACATTAACAAACTGTGCTGTGGGACTATTGTTAGGACACAATTTCCTGACGCTGATAGCATGAGAGTTCAATGAAATGATGCAATGCGCTGTGGGAGGTTTGCATGTAAAGGTGTTGAATAAGTGTATAAAAGTCAAGTATTCTTCTCTCAAGTGCTTGTTTTACATCAGTTAAAAATAGTTTGATTTTTCATCCAGTTGTGAAGCTTGTTGTACGTAAATAACCATTCAAGTTGTGGCAGAAATACATAACCGTTTAGTTTGTTTACTCTCAAAATAATCTCACTGTTGTTTTTTCTTTACTGTAGCCTAAATCCACATGTCACACTGTGAGCTATGATTATATTTATCCTGATGAAGAATTACAGACAAAGTATCCTATGGAATTAATATTTTAAGTCTAATAAATCCCTCTGACTCTTTGATTCTTTGTCTTTGCAGGGTGCTCAGTATGAACTGAAAGACAGTCCCGGTGTCCAGCACCCAGGGTTTGCCCACCATCACCCTGCTTTTTACCCATATGGCCAATATCAGTTCGGTGACCCGTCCAGACCCAAAAACGCCACCAGGGAGAGCACCAGCACCCTGAAGGCCTGGCTCAGTGAGCACCGCAAGAACCCCTACCCCACCAAGGGCGAAAAGATCATGCTGGCCATCATCACCAAAATGACCCTCACCCAGGTGTCCACCTGGTTCGCCAACGCCAGGAGGAGGCTAAAGAAGGAGAACAAGATGACCTGGGCCCCCCGGAACCGCACCGACGAAGAGGGGAATGTTTACTCCAGCGATCACGAGGGGGAGGAGGGAGACAAGAGGGAGGACGAGGAGGAGATCGACTTGGAGAACATCGACACGGAAAATATTGAGAACAAGGACGACTTGGACGACCAGGACGACCTGCATTCAGATATTAAACTAGACGGGAGGAGTGACTCTGAGATTTCTGACGGCTATGAGGATTTACAAGGGCCCGACCAGAGGTTTCTAAAGGCTGTGGGGAAAGAGGGCAAAGACGTGGAGAGAGGAGGAGAGCACTTCCACAGCCACCACCATCACCACCATCATCACGCTTCTTTGGACACCAAAGCGTCCCAACCAAACGGAGAGCAGCTCAAACTGAACCCAGTGTCCGTTAGCTCGCCGCCCTCAGAAAACAATCCTGCCCCAGCCCAAAAGCCAAAGATCTGGTCTTTGGCAGAGACAGCCACGGCCCCTGACAATCCCCGTAAATCGCCACAAATGAACGGCAGCAACTCCGCAGGGCCGGCCGCCCAGACCATAATCGCCCCTCACAGACTTATCTCTTCTTGTCCCGTTGGGAAAATCCAGAACTGGACGAACCGAGCCTTCTCGGCGCATCAGCTGGCTTTACTGAACTCAAATCATTACCTGGGACTGGCAAACCAGGCCACCGCCACCGGCCTGGCCCTCTACAGCAGCAGGCAAACGGAGGACAAGAGTCATAGTTCAGAGACTCCAGTCACAGGTACATGTCCCCGACACTGAGACGCGCATGTATAAATAACTACAAAAACAAAGACACTAGTCCATTGCCCGTCATTCATTTCTATTACTTTAGACCCCCTTTCGCCTTCTTTGCCTGTTCATGGATTGTTTTTCTCTTTCTCTCTAGGCCACACAGATGAACAGTGTTACAATGTTATATCTTACAGAATACAGTGTGTGTGATGTGTGTGCGTGTGTGTGTGTGTGTGTGTGTGTGTGTGTGTGTGTGTAACTGCTTTGAAAAATGTCCGAGAGGATAAACGAAAAACCTCGTCAGAAAGCATTTAAGAAAAAAGTCTAATGTTGAATTGGGTGAAAACTTGTTCTTATTTTTGTGCCCCCCCCTTTTCCTTCCTTTATTTGGTATTGTTACATCCATGTGATATTAAGGCCCACGTGCTTGTATTCAATGGTTTACTGGTTTACATAAATCCCACAACCATTAAAACCAACTAGTTTTTCAACACTAAATTCACTGAAAGCCAGGATGGGCTCCGATTACAGGCAGTTAAATTAAATCATTTTAATTTTCATTGCCACAATTTCAGAGAGATCTAGTGCCTTGGATGCAGAGGAAAAAAAAGTTGTTTAAAAGCAGCTTTCAGTTCAAAGAAAGTGAGGCTGTCAGTTAATGACATCTGGGAATTTTTTTTTGATGCCATATCACATTTTCTTTTTTAAACGCCATATTTACCCAAATTAGCTTTTATTCTAAGATTTGTTTTATCCCTGTGTGTGCGCTTGTGTTATTTCGTCAAGGCCTATGTTACACTTACTTGTTTGGTCATGCAAATGAGCTCAATGCAAATTCACTACAGGCTCGTTTTTGAAAGGCAATTGTCACTTTTATATCACTTTGTGTTTTAGCTCTTCGTGAGGCTATTATTAGTGTTTTTTTGTTTTGTTTTTTCGTTTTGTTTTTTTGGATCACTACAATTTTTTTTTCTTTTACCCCTGTGTATTTCAGGCCTCAGAACCAACTAAGCAGCGGTGGTTCTTTCGGCTCCCTCCATAACCTCTCACCCATCCTCTCTTTTCTTTTTCTTTTAATTTGAATATGGAATGTAAAATAAGAATAATACATCTCTGTATACTTACATTGTAAGCATGTCCTGTGTAAAACTGCTAATGTAATAATGTATGAACCTGTAGTCTGTGAGTTTTTTTTCTTTTTGTAAGTTCTGTGAGGATTTGATGTTCAAATGTTTTGTATATAAAGTTAAGAATATGTACATACTTGTGAACCAAATTGTACAAGAAAGTCTATATTTTGGCTAATAAATGAACTGCTGCAACTTTAAGATATTGTTGGTTTTTGGACAAGCTATTTTGACAGCTGTTTTTGATGGTGGCTGTTATTGTGCATTGCAGCTTGAATTGCATTGCTTTGGTTTGCGTGTCTGCGTGTTAGTGGACAGCCTGAGGCACAGACTTCATCCTCTGTGGTAGTGATAAGTAAATATTCGAGAGGGATTTATCACATTTTTGTAGTGGAGGGACTTAAGGCTAATTAGCCAGTATTGCGGCATACATTTGGATATTAATGTTGTGGGATTATCCTTTATAGAGGCGTAGCGGTCGCATTAAAATAAATAATTCTCTCATTAATTTTCGTCTGAAATTGTATGGTTCATAAAGATATTTTAGGTAATAAATGACTGTTAGATGATCAGTGGTACTTGGAAAGAGTAGTCCAGCTGATCCTAGAGATGGATTTTGGCTTTGCACTGCAACTCCCAGATCTCATCATGCTCAATTTGTAATGCTTTTGCTCTTCACATATATCATACATTTCCCTCCACTAACACTGATCTTTGGTATAATTGTAATATATCGTCGCTGTATAACTAATAATAACATCATTTATTTTGTTTGCCCGTGATGTGATCATTTGCATGTGTGAGCCCTTATCAGAGGAAGTTTATGTAAACTTGGTGTTGGAGCTCCCTCTACAGTCACTTGCAGTCGGCCATGTTCTGGTGAACAGCCGCACACATTCTGCTCATGTGGTCTCAGGTTTTTTTTTTTCTTCTTCTTCTTTTTTTTTTGGCCCATTCCTAATTTATCCAGTTGTGATATAAAATTCGATAGCAATATTTTGCTCTTATAAATCTGTCACAGTGTCATATCTTTTAAATGTGTTTTCAGGCTTCAGTGTTGTGGTTTCATGATGTACACATGCGGTACATACTGAATCAGCAGGCTTGTTTTTAATACTTTAAAAAGCAAGCACATAAAAAAAGAGAGACAGAAGTCAAATTTCAATTTTCGCCCAGGCGTTCAGAAACATTTAAGAAAAAGTAGAGAGGCAATTTCAGTGGAGGCCACAAGCAACAAACCCTTGGGAATAGACATAATTTATATTTAATATCAATATTTAGGCACAATAAAGCAACTATAATAAGTAGATAAAATGTATCTTTTTTTTATACTCGCCAATGGCTGAAGTATTTAAAAGAAATCTTTCCTGGCTGCCATGCTTAACTTGAGGATTACAGGACTTCTCAGTTATCCTTCAAAGTGCATCAGTCGCTCCACTTCCTGTTTTGAAATCAGGTAAATGAAATAAAAGATTAAGAAATAAATAAAGATAAAAAGGGAAGACAGAAGAAAAAATCAGCAAAGAAAAATGCCGTCAATATTCTCATTATTCAAATTTCTCCGAGATTATAAAAAATATCTCCAGCCTTTTAAAAGACTCATAGGAGACATGACAGTCTTAGTAATGCAAATGTATTCATTCATTATTTTTTTTTATCCATCTTATTTAACAGCAGAGAAAAAAAAAACAATATTAGGCATAATATGTAAAACATTTAAAAATGTATTTTGGGAGACAAACTTCGATTTCCTAACGCACCCATCTCTAAACGAAAAGCACCCCTCTTCTTTTATTACTTTCAGATTTTTATTTCTTTTCAGAGTTTTAAAAGACTTGGATTTATGATTACAGTCATATTTTTGAAACGCACAAGCAGAGACCCACAGGCTGTCACACACTCCTCGACTAGACTCAGATGGTCAGCGAGGACAACGTCCTAATGCCTGCCGTTCAGGGCAGCAAAGGCAGATGAAAAGCGCTGATTCGCTCGAGTCGTATCCTCTCTAGGTTTAGGATATGCTTTAAACAAACCCCAACTCGGCCGAGGGACGGACTCCGGAGCCTTTTTTGGAGCTCCTCTCACCATGTTGCCTTCCTGTCTAATCAATTATCTTCGTTGAGAGCCCCATCTAACCGTGATATGCATATTCATAAGTGGCATCAGCCTGCCGATTGATGTAATAGTTTTTTTTTTTTCTTTTTGTAGATTCTTGTCCACTTCCTTTTGTTAAAGGAATCAAGGGGATTTATTCATCATTATACAACACAAGGTTGTAATGACCAGCATTACACTGACATAGATGATTCATAATTATACGATACAAAGGAAATTACGGTGTTTATATCAAATGTTGCAAGGTAATATTATTTTATTTTTTTTAATGTCTTTCAATCAATTATGTAATTGTGAATTTATAGAAATGTAAAAATAACCGGTTTGACGGCACTTATGGCATGTGTTATAAATGAACGTTAAGATTAAGATTAAGATTTATGTCAGCTTTAAAAACTATAAATAAACGGCGGGCTGCACTGAACTTTATCATAAATAACGATACTTATTTCCTCACTGTTCACAGGCTGTTTGCTCCTGAGGGGCCCAGAACCAGTCACCTCTTGATGGTGAGGATTTAGCTGAAATGCTACTGAAGGGCCAGTGATTGTGTCTGGAGCTCAGGGCCTCTCCTCATGATCAGTGCATGAAATTAGGGATTAAAAAGCCTTGGTAGAAACAAAGTAATCATGCCTGCTTATGTCGCCATACGTGTCCAACCTGCTCCCGGTTACAAAGAGCAAATGGAATGCATTAGCCAACATTTTGCTCTGAGCTACACAGGGACCATTTCCAGTGGGGCATGGTGTGTCACTCGTTTCCCAGCACGTTAAGTGGATGTTCTCCTGGCTAATGAGCAATAATCAACATTGACTCCTCTTCTTATTTCTGAGGTCCATGCTGTGTTAAATGCTGAGGGTCTCCCGGGCACACTGTAGCCCTGTAGTACTACTCAACTGCATAAAAAGCAATGGGTAATCTACTCAACACAAGAAGGTAAGAAAAGTTAAGATTAAGACTATTAAGAGGATACTTAACAGGCTGGAAACAGCTGCAAAATAATCTAAATGTGACATCATGTATTTTTCGATTCAGATATCCCACATTACAAAGCAACAGATTCTCAATTGTACTCACTGTCTTGTTATTATTTACGATTTAATAGATAGTTCTGCGGTATTTAGAGTGTGGGAAAGCTTTTGACATAGTGCAAATTAATTGTACCTGATTTCCCATCTAATCAAATTGCTTATGTTGTCCTGAGTGCTGTTGACTGCTGCTCCCTTTCGCCCTCAACTCTCAGACAGGGCTAAATACAGCTACATGGGTGAAAAAAAGTAATGTGCTGTTAAACAGCCATTTAGAAGGGGAAAAATCTGAGAAAGATGGAATCATTAAAAGGAAATCTAATCTGTCTTTCGAAGCGTTCATTGATCTGGGAGAAGGTGGACGGCAGTACCGGGCGGCTGAAAGGGTCCGGCCAATGGAGCCATCAGAGGTTCATGTGTGAATGGGGAGAAACCATGGAGTAAATAAACACTAGAGCAGCCCATTGGAGAGGGCCAGAGGTGCCCTGTGAAAGAGGAGGCCGCTGCAAATAAAGGGGGTCAGTCTTGTGTTTTTCACCTCATCCACCCCTTCTGTCATTGTAGCCCCACCACCAGTGCCACCTCCTCCTTCTCCCACCCCCAGGCTGGGGACGGTTCTGACACACCCCCTCCTGCCACCGAGACAGACAAATGTCATCTCCTTTGTGGACCTAGTCAGGCTTAGAAGCGGCCCACTGTCTTTGTGCGGTGGACTAATCCTTTTATGAGCCACTGTCAACCGCGCCCCCACCCAGCGTTTGCCTGGGCCAAGAGAGGGGCTGCCCTTTTGCAAGCTCTCGGCCTGTGGTAGCTGACCACAGGAGGAGCGGGGATCTGTTCTCGGGAACACATGTCCCACACACCACATACCTTCATACACAGGCTTACAGGCCGCTGCACTCCACGGCAACTTGTTACAGCCGTCGCACTCTAGAGCTGAAAAAAGGGAGGGTGGAAAGCTTGATTTTACCCCTGCCAAAGATATGTGACTTCTGTGTCCCCTGCATGTTTTATGGCACATTCATTATTGAGAATGTGAGTGAAAGTGCAGCAACAACATGTTAAAGAATAGCCAGGGAGCAGGGAGAGAGGGGTTGTTGTGTTTCCCTGGGCTGAGCAAAGGACAAAAGGCCCAGAAGGAGTGACATTCTCTGGGGCCGGAGTGGGAGAGAGGGAGGGCACTGATTTCATGCCTTTTGTTGATGTAGGTTAGAGAGAGGAATTCTTTCACTGAATCCGAAAGGCAACAAGTGGGGAAGGGGGCGACAGGCCGACAGGCCAGAGGGAGAGGCGTTGGGGCTTTTGCCGTTCACCCAGCTGAAAGATTGTGCTTTTCTCAGCCCCCTTCAGATCCCTCAGACAGGCCCGAGTTACAGGGCAATTATGGAAATGCAGCTTTGAAGCCAAGCATAGCCTTCTTTCACTTCTTCCTCAGGACAAAGCAAAGGCAATAAGGTCTTTTTATGCACCGTCCTCTATTAAACATGTTTCAGCCCCAATATGTGCATGCTCCTAACTTTTCTTCTCTAACTCACACAATATTGTGGTTTGATGTTGAATATGCTTTTAAAATGAATATCAAAAAAATTTATAGGGACATTGTTTTGTGTGTGTGTGTGTGTGTGTGTGTGTGTTTTTTTTTTTGTTTTTTTTTTTACAGAAATATTACAGGAACATTCTTCACGTGTCAGGGGAAAAGCTGCATCCACTCATCTCTTTACCATGTCAATCTGCCTATAAAGCACTTACCAAGGAGATGAGCACAGGGGTGGGTTTATAAAAAACGCCTGGCCTCATAGCTGCTTCCAACAGCTGCGCACTTTTACCAGCCTGATGTCCCCTCTCCGCACCCTCTCCACTCACACGTCACTAACAGAGGCCCAGCAAACCATCAGCCCTGCACTTTCTCAGCTTTGTACATTAGTCAGCGGTGTAGCACAGAATTTCGCCACCTCGTGTGAACTAATAAGACACATTTTCTCCGGCTTTTGAGAGGATAGCAAGAGAGTGATGTCTCTACATCACCCGACACAGCAGAGGCCTTGTACAACAGTGCCTTTACACTCCGAGCATATCTGACAAATGCCAATACTCCGGCTTTCACTCATCACTGTTAATGAGAGGACATATTTTGGACGTTTCCAATATTTGTACAGACTTCATACATTATGAAGGCCCTTTTATTCACAGTACCAGGCGGAGAGGACAAGGGTGGGGTAGGGTGGGGGTGTATTCATGACTCCACAGGACTGGCTGACTGGTGAAGGGAACTTAATAAATTCTTCCTCCTTGGAACACTGTCAAACAAGTCCTTTCTTACATCTCCCATGAATACATTACCAGCGAGCTTGATTGATTAGAGACCCTCGTGAGAGGGTGAACCGATGAACCGACTCCCCTGGTGTGATTAATAGACTTTATTAAGAGAGTCCTCTCCTTTTTAATAATGGTAATGTAAAGGAAGGCGTGGGGGGTGGGGGGTGCACAGGAAGTCTAACGATGATCACTGGTGCTGTCCCTCACTTTGATCCACATTCCCTTTAGTTTGAGTTCATTTTCACAACCTCCAACTGGCTAAATCCATCACCTCCCTATCAGTGCCACACACCGCAGATATGAGGTTCCTTTTATATACTGTTTTCACTTTTGTGCCTGCACACTGCCAATATGAAACTCTTTAAAAAGTCTCTCTTGGGTAATATGAGAAGCAGAATTGATTTAGATTCCTACTCACAGTTTACAGCTAAATGAAACTGACTCAATATCCATGAAACATCTTTAATGGGCCTTAGACCAGAATCTAAGTGATGACTGTATAACTCTGCACCTGATGCCTGCATTGTGATGGAGCTGTGTGTGTAACAGTATGCATCTTTTTCTTGTAAAAGCATGTGTAGCTCTTCTTGTTGGTATTTTTTATGTTAAAGAGAATGATGCAAAATTATGCCTCTCCTTATCCAGTTTCTCTTACTTGACTCCTTCTTACATAATCATTCTAAAGTCTAGGGGTATGACCCTTGACCTTTTTACGCTTGGTTGCTTGTAAACTTACTGATTTAGGAATTAGCCTTTCTCTGTTTGGTACTAATTTGAAGTTGTTGTAGAAAAGATAGGTAAATATAAATCTATTTAAAAATAAAATATACAAAAATATTCAATATGTCCATATTCCTGTGTGCGTGTGTGTTTTTTTAAGTCAAAGCTTCCATGTGGCAGGTATGTGTATCCAAACAGCTCGCTGGCTAATCATTGTTCTTGAGTGCTAGCATGGTGTTAAGCAGGGGGTAAACCATGTACAGGAAATTGTTTAGCCACCCAGAGCTGAGCCTGCTTATCAGCACAACACAGGAACAACAGAGACTTTATATTAGCACTGGACACAGCAGCTCCAACTTATCGTCATGCTGTATTTTGCAATCCAGCACCACAAGTGATTTATTCAAACACGGATACCACAGATAGGGCTATTCACGTTCTAGTGCATTACTGCATGACCCAGACAGGTTCTGTTTGCTTTGTTGCTACAAACCAGACACGCAACACACAACCATATATGACATCACCAGACAAGCCAAGCGTTGCTCACTTCTGCTGTAAACCTGAGAGAGAGGTCGATAACAGCAGGTGAGAGGGCTTCGCTGTGTAATGATGATGCCTACCAGTGTCTAAGTTGTAAACCCTGCTATTGATTCTCTTCAGTTCAGCCAATAGTCTCCACAATCTTCCATGCCTGAAAGTCTGCAGTAATGTGTCTGCATAGAATCCAATATCCGCCACAATTAATGAATACTGACAAGCAGCTCAACCTTTGTATTTTTATTTTTATTTAACCAAGTTAGTCCCACTGAGAGCACAGATCCTGTTTCCAAGGAAGACCTGGCCAAGACCGCCGCAGCACTTTTGACTACAGTAATTTACAGTAAATGTAATGAAAATAAACACATTTTATATTAAGAAAAAAATAAAAATGGAAAGTGAAGGAACATGACAGAGAAACAGAGAAATAGAACACAGGCTAAGAAAGGCACAGTGATAAAACAGTAAATATATGTTTGTACAAAGTGTTTACCACAGGTTTTACCAGGGGTATAAATAGTAGATTTGCCAGTCTATCATGCAGGATGAGGCTGGGTGACATGCTTCCTCGTACTCCATGGGGAGTTTAAAAGTATATATGCTAAAGCCAGAGGAAAAGAGGAGGCAGAGAATGTACTCTATTCTTCTTAACTTTTCTTTGTGCTTAGATAAACTTGTTGTCAGGCACATTGTCAGCCACTCCAGCGTGACACCTCACAGCCAGATAATGGCATTGCCATGCAAATGAGAGATGGTGAAAGCTATACCACCAGTGTGTGTGTGGTGTGTGTGTGTGTGTGTGTGTGTGTGTGTGTGTGTGTGTGTGTCTGTGTGTCTGTGTGTGTCTGTGCATTCATGCATGCATCTGTTTTGTTAGTGTTTATTAGAGAATGAAAGGGTGGGCGACAGAGTGATTCAGCGTTGGCATTAGGATAGATTGGTGCCTTGTCTATAATAAGGAAACTAAATGCATGCTGAAGGAGGATTGTTGAGCCAAATTCTGTTCTCAGTCAACTCTCTCTCATCTACTCCTGGGAAATCTCCCTCATCTAGTCAAGACAAGTTGCCTTAAGACCTCACAGAGAAAAATTGAGGATGACAGTTTGTCACAACCAAGAGTCACCTAAATTGCCAAGCAGAATAAATGTACAATAATATGTCCTCATGTGACTGCAAGAGTTTAGATTACAGAGTCAAACAAGACAAGTCACACCTTTACAAGATAACACCACTTTACATACAGTGTAAAGGGATAGTGAAAACATGCTGTGGACGCCGCAGAAGATGTTGGCAATTTAAAATGCACTACGTAGTAACAGCAAAACCCTCTTTTTACTGGGGTAGTTACTGACATGTGCGGTCAAGGAGGAATCATTCTTGGTATCTTAAGTTAATAATTACCAATTACAAGACCTCCTCTAGCAATCTTTCCACCATCCAGAAAAGACTTAATCTAGACAATATAAAGTAAAAAGGTCTATCCATCTCTTGTCAGGGACAGGACGGGAAGTAGGAAGTGGTTTCTTGTGAGACACAGTGCAGAAAAGTGCCTGAACAAGCCAAGCATTCAGTATGAATGTTCCCTGCAATCTCCAGCTGTGTAGGCTCTCTAGGTTTTGTCCCTTAGTGGCGACTGGGCACAATGAAGTGGCGCTCTCACAAACAGAGAGGGGTGGGCACTGTGTCAGAAGGGCCAATACAGCCCTCCCCCTTCTGTTGTCATGCTAAGACAGCAGCACTCACTGAACTGTACCCCTATTCACACATCAGCCTCAAACCCACGCTCACCCAAGGACAAACATGGCAGCCACGTTCAGTTTCTCCAAAAAAAGCCATGCAATTCTTGAAGAAATCCACTTTTCTCCCTCAGATCTGTGAATACGCTCAGTTAGCTGATGACTTTAAGGGCAAGGAGAGTGGACCTCGAGCTCCCGTGGGCCTCATCACCGAGAAGCACAGTCTTAATCTGTAAAAGACCATGAGAACAGGCATGTCTAATGTCATTTTACAGGTAGATAGAGCGGGAGATTGGGGAGTAATTGGAAGTAATAACAGATAGCTCTCTTTCAATCCCACAGGACTTCTCTCCTCCTACGCCCCCAAATTCCCAGAAGACTTCTCGTCATATTTGCTGTTGCGCAAAAGAAATATACAGCAGACGAACTGTGACCTTTGTCCCCCCTTCCCTGAAGGTCACCTGTCTACTTTACATACACAGATGAGGTCCTCTTTTCCGGAAATGATAAGACAAACAGCAGAGAAGAGGTAAGGTCAGCAAGTTAAACCAACAGCTAGAATGACAGTTAATTGGCCGGAGGGTAGTGTAACTGTCATCCATTTCCCCTGGGCTGACTTGGGAAGACTCCCCCCGGCTGCCTCCACTCATTCCCCAGAGACCTCCACTCCGCACAAGAACGCTCACTTATCAGCTGTCTCCCACAGGTTCAACCAGTGGACATTGGCGCAGGGGAAAACAAAATGATTATATTGCCTCCAATTTGATTATTACTTCATCATTATTGTTTATATTGTGGTAATACACAATAAAGACTGTGACAAGTGAGGAGATGAAATGTCAAAGTGAATTACAGGCATATGCAGAAGCTGGCCACAAATCAGCTGGCAGAGCTAAAAGGTCTTTCTTGCTAATTGCTCATATCCTACCAGCAGTGAGAGGCGTCCAGTCACTGTGCAATAGGCTGGCTGACTGAGAGCAGATAGATAAGACTGTGTGTATGGATGATTCGACCCATGCTCTAATGACTTGTTTAGTCCTGTGTGTCAGAAGCAGTGACACATAGAGGATGGCGAAGAAGCTCTTGGGCCTTCCGTGCATCTGTGTGTGTATGCAAAGACAGGGGCAGAGAAGGGAAAATAACTCCCTGCACAGCACTTAGAATAAGTGTGTGTGTGTGTGTGTGTGTGTGTGTGTGTGTGTGTGTGTGTGTGTGTGTGTGGATGTGGATGTGAGTGGGTGTGTGCTGGAGGAGACCACATGCATGTATAAGGAGGAGTGATGGTTTTAGCAGAATCTGTCTGGCTGATTTTGCAGGGCCAGGGTTTGGGGTGTGAAAGGCGAGAGAGAGTGTGTGCGTGTGGGAGATAATAGGCCTTTCTCCACGCCACTCAGCGTTCCGCTGGCACACAGCTGGCACACAGCTGGCCATCCAACTAAACTGTCCCAGCCCCTTTTTCCCCTTCTGTATCCTCCTCCTCCAGCACCACCCAGCCCCCCTACAGAATGCCAGACATGCAGGGTAAGGGAATACGGGGGGGAAGAGGGTTAAGACAAAAAAAAACATTAGCGTTAATGGGGAGAAGGAAGGAGGAAGTTATGATGGGGCCCACTGCTCCCATGATCCATCTGGGGCTTGGCGGGAGGGGATCCGTCAGTGACAGACAGGTGTTCCTCAGCAGTCACACTAATCCCCGGCCAGCCCCTCTGCTCTGAGGCCCGCAGGGACCAACTCCATGCTTCCACTGCTACCCCTGATACAGCAGCTACTACTTTCTGTCCCTACTCAGTCCCTTTAACTGTCAGGTACAATGGACAAAGAAGAAAACTTTATCAATAGATCAATACACAGGGGAAATAGGCACATATTCATGTTCTACTCTAAAGGCA